CTGCAATGGCACAATTAGATAATATTAAGGAAAGTCCAGCAAGAGAAGAATCCGAGGCTGCACCTCTGTGATGTCCCTGGGTCCTTGTGGATTGGTTGGCTGGAAGTTGATGTAGAAGCCCATCAGTCACTAAACCCAAAAGAGGTATTTCAGTTTTAGATGAGATGAGTAACTAGGTGGCTTCTTATATCTCATGGGATCCATCTTCTGTCCATGCTGCCATCTCATGGGATCTATCTTCTGACTATGCTGCCATCTCATGGGATCCATCTTCTGTCCATGCTGCCATCTCATGGGATCTATCTTCTGACCATGCTGCCATTCCATGGGATCTGTCTTCTGACCATGCTGCCATCTCATGGGATCCATCTTCTGACCATGCTGCCATCTGTCTTCTGACCATGCTGCCATCCCATGGGATCCATCTTCTGACCATGCTGCCATTCCATGGGATCCATCTTCTGACCATTCTGCCATTTGTCTTCTGACCATGCTGCCATCTCATAGGATCCATCTTCTGGCCATGCTGCCATTCCATGGGATCTGTCTTCTGACCATGCTGCCATCTCATGGGATCTGTCTACTGCTCATGCTGCCATCTCATGGGATCTGTCTACTGACCATGCTGCCATTTGTCTTGTGACCATGCTGCCATCTCATGGGATCCATCTTTCTTTCTAGCTATTCATATTGCATGCATTGTTATGGTAGAAAACAACACACCCATCCTGCATCACCCCACAATGCACATGTCACAGGCTGCATTGCACGTCCAATCAATATTGAAAATGAATGGGCTGCCTTAATGTAGCGCACCGTAACACACGGTAACATGTTGAGTTAACACAATGCGTAGTGTGAAGGGGTCCATAATGTCGCAGGCAGGTTTACTTTAAAGCTGGCGTGAAACAGTTATATAAGAAAAAAACTATTTTAAGCACTAGTGCAATTATCAGCGAGCCTTGCTTCTTCTGGAGGGGGGATAATGGGCATTGTAGGCAGTTGGAGGTGATTGATGAATAACTAAATGTGCCGACCACATAGCTCGGCACATTTAGTTATTCATTTTTCACGTATACACACTCACAGTGGGTGTACATTCCAGTGCCTTGTAGCTGTTAGCTTGCTTATTGGCGCAGTTCATTTTCTATATTTATAGTTGGAGGTGATTGTTATCATACAGGAAGAGTGACGGACAGAACCAGATCACAGGATGAATTTCCACCTGAAGCTCTACTGTCACCACGGCATGAATATATTGGTGGGTGTTCATACATGGACGGCAGATGACCCCTCTCTGTCCCTCATCCCTGGGGATATATCTGGACGTCTGCCAGTAGCCGTGTCATACAACAGGCAATTTTGTGGCAATTTGTAATGGGAACTGAAACCACTTCAGCTCTACCCGTTGCCATTTTTGAGCAACTTCCACCCCAATTATTGTAGTTTGGCCTCTTAAAACCTCAAAATGTTTGTGGCTGGGAGCTGACTGCCAAGTGCAGGACCAGTATGCTCTCCGGCTTCTACACCATGACTTCTGGATGGACAGACCCTTCATGTGGTCAAGGACATCAGGAAAATGGCACGAGTTTCCTAACCACTTCAAAAAGGGCAGCCGGAGATGAAAGGGACCGCAGACATGAGGTCAGGGCCCCTGGCTCTTTGGCTGATAAGAGCCAGACAGGAAATTAGTTGCTTATTAGCTGTGGGACAAGGCTGGGATATGACCTAAATGTGCCCAAAGCTGTTAACCCTTCATAGTGCAGCTTGCCTTTCAGTGTATAGTTCTCCATAGGGCCTGTCTTTATTACTGGTGATGCAACAGACTCAGGTGCCACTTGTAATGATCAGATGGCGGAGAGGGATGAGCGATATTGGAGAATACTCTTTCTCCATGTGGTCAGTGAATGGTGCCGGGCGGGAGGCTTTTCTGCGGTGGACACTTCATCCTGAGAATCTTTATTTTTCCTTCCTTGCTACACTGACTCCGTAGCCTTGGCACCATATGAAGGGGGTTGTATATGGCATCATGCCCCAATGTTGGAAAGACTCCACAAATAGCACAGAGGACATGAGGTCATTCTTATCATGTGGCCTGCAGGTACAGCCTTCAAAAAGTTGACTTTCTTTAAGGAAACACGTTGGATGAAAATATCTACAATGTACAGTATACAATGATAATAATAATAATAATAATAGTGATGTCCAGTACAGCAGAAATATTGGTGAGCTGTGTAGGATGAGAACGCCTGAGATGGAAGTAGAACCCTCTAGAATTCAGGGGTGTCAAACTCAATTTAATCGTGGGCCGCATCAACATTATGGTTGCCCTCAAAGGGCCTGTAAGACTATATAAATGTATCTAATCTTTATCATAATTGCCTCTGCATTCGATTATCACTGGTTTTAGTAATAACTTAATACCTAAATCTGTTTGACACATGTGCTCTAGATTGTTAAAATGAGGGTCAGCTCTTGGATCTAACTGATCGTTGGCCAAGCCAGTCAGCTGATGCCACCATCACATGACCGATGCTGCTCATGCAGACTGGGAACCCATGACCTCTTGGTAGAGAAGGGGGCAGGAATCCATGGTGATGGCCAAATCTGACATATAGGTGAACCATGCAGGGTGCCAACCCCCCATATCACTTTAGGGGAATGGGAGTCATTGTTTAAGATCCAACGGAGGCGCCATCACAGTCTTCCATCTCTGCCATTCTCTATCCAATTGGATATCACTTTGTAAGGGATCAACAGCATCCCCTGAGGTGTAGCTTCCTTGTAACATGTGGGCATTATCTAGGGTGGTCTGCATGCAAATTCAGCCTGCCTAGGAACTCCCACTCCTCTAGATTGTCACGCCCCCATCATTTTGATATTTGCACCAGGGCTGAGGGCTCTTGAGAGGAGTACAAAGGTAGGGTGCTGGGATGTTTTCTGGAAGCTTTGTTACAGCCCTCTGTTAGCCCCTCTCCCCAGCCATGACCTGCCTTTGTTGCATAGAGAAGCACAGAGACCGGGACTGAGATAAAGTAATGAAAACAGAAAGGTCTTTTTTTTTATATACATTAGCATGTTGATAAGGGGGGAAAGGAGGAACCAGGGAAGGGATATAATAACCAACATGCTGAAACAAGGCGCATTTTTGGGGAAAATCATGCAGGAAATCCCAAAACCACCACCAAGCCTTCAGACCCCCGAGCCCATGCATGCAATGAGGTGAGATGGATACTTACAGAATGGACCGACTGCAACGACGTGGACACACAATATAAAACAAAAAAATAAGGATGGGATGAGTGAGGCTGAATTGAAATGACATCATGAATACAAGACATGAATAATGACATTCAGACTGTGAGTCAAGTGGACCTGTCTCTCATTCACAGTGGAAGCAGCGATTAGTTGTACTGAAAACAATGCGTCTGACTGCATTTCTGACCCGCTTGAGTTGGAGCGCTTTAAATTTAAATTCTTATGCTGGCTGAGGGCCACGTATGACCCCAAACCCACCAGGATCCCAAGGCAGCCCCGGGCCATATCCAGCACATCAAATCACAGGGAGTCAGTGCCATTGTTGCGAAAGAGGTCACTGACTCCATGCTGAAACGACGGCCTACAACCAAACAGCCGCCTTTCCAGTGTGCATGTGTGAGAAACCCGATCAATGACACCGATCAGCAATAATTGTGATTGATCAATACAGGACGCACCAACATCTCCAACATATGAACATGTTCGGGGTTAATGAATCATTCCACCATCCTCCTGTACCGAACGCACGGAGTGAATGTAAGAAAACAACAACGTGAGGAGGTCTTACCGTGAACGCCGAGGGAGCCGGACACTTCCGATTTCCCAACGCTGTTCTCTGCTATACAGGTGTACGTTCCTTCATCCTCCGAGGTGACCCGGGATATCCGAAGGGTGTTATCACTGCGGATCTCGAATCTGGAAATTCAGAAAGGCGACATTGGCTGTGAGAGGCAGAATAAAGGTTGTAGATTGTATTATATGGCGAGCGTTCAGACAGAAAGCATCAACATGAAGGTCCCACAAACAGAAATGACTACTTAGCTTGCGTAAGACTATTCCAGAGCAGTCAGACTTCCTATAGACATCAGTGTGTACACCCAGGTGACACCAAAAGAGCGTTCTTCACAAAGATGAACAAATGGACTACCTGAGCATACGTATTTGTGGGGGGGGGGGGGGGGGGGGGTAGGGAGCAGGAAGGCAGCCCTAGTGCCAAAAATTCCTACACAGCCAGTTCTCTGAAGACTGGTCATCTATAGGTGTCCATGGAGGTCCCCTTATGCCCAAGGTGTCAGAAATCTCATACAGTGGTTCAGCTTTCCAGAAATAAACATAAATATGGGTGCGGAGATGAAGCTGTGGTCTTGCAGAGGGGACATTTTTTGCATCCAGTTGGCTTTCTGGCCAAAAAGAAGGGCTAGTGGCCTCAGTGAAGCTTCTTTGGAGGTCCCATAGACATAACATGTCGCGTTCCCTACACAGCAACATTCTGTATGGGCTTCACCACCGGACTGTCCAGCTAACTGATCAGTTTCAGAGAGCGGAGGATCAATCAGGAAGGTTTAAAAGTCTTGTCTGATTGCTGTGCTATCCCTCAAGACTGGTAATAATATTATTACTACTATAATTCTTATCATTTGCCTTTTTATAATAGTGCTCTAGAGATCTTCTCTAGAGATAACATATTATGTTGGCATCTTGTTTCCGAAGATGTTTATGGGACCGCTGACTGAGAGACGAGCCGAAGGTTAGTTAGATGGAACCTGTACAACGACCTCAGAGGTTTATGGCCTCCAAAACTTGATGATGACAAAACAATAGTTTGATAAAAAGATAATTGTTACCTTCCCCGGGGCAGTTCTCCCTCTTCCTTGCGCCAGCGGGCAGTGGGCACCGGGTCACCCTGTACTTCGCAGCTGAAATCCACAACGTCATCCGCCAAGACCACTTGATTTATGGGCCGCCTGATGAACGTTGGCCGTTCTGAAAACAGAAAAATGAGATGGGTGAAGAAATGTTAAGAACACATTATAAGTGTATGCTGACAGTGCCTAGTCTATCTTTTGGCTAGAATAAGAAATGGTGGGGAAGGTCACTTCCTGTTCCGAGGAACTAGGAGGAAATCTCAGACAGTGCCTAGTCTATCGTTTGGCTGGAATAAGGAATGTTGGGGAAGGTCACTTCCTGTTCCGAGGGAACTAGGAGGAAATCTCAGACAGTCCCTATCGTATCCTTTGGCTGAAATAAGGAATGGTGGGGAAGGTCACTTCCTGTCCTGAGGAACCAGGAGGAAATCTCTCCAAAGTGAGGGGATGTCACCCGTCAAAGACTGCCTCTCTTGTATATCAGCAGTCCGCTCTGATTTAGAGGCTTCATTGCTAATAGGTTGTATTTAGAAGTCTGCACTGGTCTATAGAAAAATCTTTGCTTGGTGTTGAGTTCTTCTTTAACCAGGGAGCAGAACATTCTCATTTCCTCCTGGAAGTAGCCGGAATGGGCTCTTGTGGGTTTGCGGTCTAAAGATAATTAGTCTCGGGTTCTCCTAACGTTTTCTAGCAGTACACATGATTTGCTGATCGTGGAATATCGGACATCACAGATTGAATGCCTCATTTATAACTTACCAAAGACCACCAGCTGGGCCGGCTCGCTGTCTCGTTCCCCCACCATGTTGGTGGCTACACACACGTACATTCCGGCGTCTGTCTTCCTGGTGTTGGAAATCATCAGCTTCCCTCCTCGGATCTGTAGGACGGATATCAGAAATACATGATAATTAGCACGGAGTGTCACAGCCTGATATCTGGAAAAGGCAACTGCTGTTTGAAGCTTCTCACACAGGCCTGCCTCTTCATAAGAGATCCTGATAAGTTCTATGCAGTTATCTGGAGCAACCAACCAGAATGGCCTTATAGCAGGTTAGTGCTGCCAAGGCCAGCGAAGACTTGAGGTTCCTCAGCCACGAGGCAGGACAAAAATCCCACCAAGGTCACTAGTTGCATTTGTATTGTCTGCCCCTCCCATAATCCAGGATAACTTCTAAGATGAGAAGAAATTACACCTTTTAGTACAACATATACAAAGGGACTATCCCGGCCATAACCCATTTACGTGGACTGTGAAGAACTAATATACAAAAAATAAGAAGGTTGGTTAAACCCACAAATGCTTTTTTTTTTCAGCACGACTTTTCCTTTAAATTGGATTTTCATGATAAAAAATGCAGTTACTTAGAGGGTGCGCCATTTATAAAAATCCCACCAAAAAAAAGGACAACTGAGGAGAAAGTTCCAAAAGAAGGACAACTCATCCAAACGAGGTAAGGTTGGGAGTGATGAGAAAGTGGTACGTATGAGTGAGGTGGGACCAGTAGAACATCTGCTGCTTCGAGGACATGGATTGATGTCAATGGTGGGATGGTGCAGATTGGCGCCACATAATAAAGTACTGAATACAGCTCTCCAGGAACACTTCCTACCCCAGAGAGCGAGAGAGAGACCGCCACAAAACCTTGGTTGGAAGAAGACATTTTCCATCATGAGGAGATATTTTGGACCCCCGGAGTCCCCTTACCGTGATGCGTTCGTCTTTGTCACTAATGCGGGCGTTTTCCTTCTTCCAGGATATCGTCGGCTCGGGGTGACCTCGCGGAGGGATGCACTCCATTACCGCTGGTTCTCCTGCCGCCACCACCACATCATTGGGGGCCTGACGAAAGTCATCCCTGAGAACTGTAAAACAGAAGAAAGACTCCATCAGACCGGAGTAAACAGACTCAGCGGTCACATTGCCGACGGTAAAATACATTCCAATCCTTCAAAGTCTCACAACTAGAAGAGCTCCACCAGTGTCATGAACGTCTCATGTCTGCTTCCTCATATAAAAGTCCCAATAGCGGCTTCCAACCAATCACCATCCTCCACCCTTCCGGATCCCTCTTATCTCAGAGTACCAGTGCTGTACGATGAAACTTGCCAATCCCAACCCACCAGAAAAAAGACAAATCATCTCAAAGGACCGATATATAAGAATCTCCCTATACAGGAAGTGGAAGGACCAAAAGGACCCCCCGGGGGTCAGAGAGTCCAAAGAGTTATTTTATTAAAGGAGAACTATGGGGTCAGTGTTCTTCCCCATAGTTCCCCTTGAGGGTAACGGGAGGACACAAACTAGCGTCCTCCCGTTACCCTAAGCTCAGTATATAGGGAGCTACAGCTCGCGGTATAAACACAGTTCGGGGGTATTGTAGCACCTTTCATCAGTGCTACAATACAAACAAAAATATTAGGAGGTGCACCGAAATGGAAATTTCAAAGCTGATACGAAACCGAAATAAAAAAAAATAGTCAGGCCGAAACCGAAAATGTTTTTTATTAAATTTTTTTCTCATTTTTTAAATATTTTATTTTTTATAAACTTAATTTTTCATATTTATTAATTAATTAATTTTTTATTAAATATTTTAATTTTTTACTTTACTTTTAGGGGCTTTGGGGAAATATTAGAGACATGCGCGCGATTTTTGCTCCCGACATCGCGCATTTTTGCCGCGCGATATCGCGAGAAGTCGCCGGCCAATGATTTTCAATGGAGCTGTCTTAATGTAAGGCTCCATGTCGCCTGCCGCGGTCGCAGGTCGCTCCCACAGGAACCTTTTTTCAGCGGATTTTGCACGATTTTTCAATTTTTTTTTAATGCAGCCCGAATGGTGAAGGTCGCATTACCGTCGCTGGAACGTTGCCCTGAAAGTCGCGCTATACCGGCCACGCGGATCCGCTTCAAAAGGTATGTCGCTTAGTGTGAATGGGGCCTCAGCGACGAGCTACAGGCGACATTGAGCTGTGAACAGCTCCATTGGAATGCATTGGACAAGCTACATAGAGCGATATCGGGGCAAAAATCGCGCAATAAAACCGCTCAGTGTGAACGGGGCCTAATAGAAGATCCATCTCCTCTCTTTGCATTTAGATACGTAAAAGTATCGACTCCCGGTCTAAATCCGATATGAATATTCCCACCGCGATGGTACGGAGAGGAACGCGATGTTATGAAGAACGACTCTCGTCTGTAATACATTTCATTTAATCATCGCTGTTGGAAGACATTGAGAAATGTACATGTGACCTGTGACCCCCCCCCCCCCCAGGAGGGACATCTGCGGCACACACACACACCAGGGGTCAGATCTGCCCCTTTGCCCCAAACACTGAGCCCAACAGCCACGCTTCCATGTGACAGGTCTGAGCCCGGTCACTGCACATCTGTCCACAAACGTCCGCCGCCCCTGACCGCCGAGATGACAGATGAATTGTCCTTGCCACTTATGTAATTAGCTTTATTGAAAGAGCTGACAAGGCGGAGGAGGGGAGGGAGCGCTGAGTGTTCATCGCCGGCCGGAGGAAGCGCCGCACACGCATGGGCAAAGAAAGAAGCATGGAGGATGAGGGCCGCGTGGTACCTACTTTATAGGCCGGTTCTCACACTGGCCTGACCCCCATGGATAATACATTGCAATGGTTTGATGTCGCTGTAACTGCCGGGATGCAGCAACCTATAGGACAGCAGGAGGGGATGCACAGTGGTCAGCACCAGTGTCTTGAAGTACTGGGGTTTTGGGTTTAGTGCTTCCTGTCATAGGGTGACAATGCTCTGTCATTATTCAGGTGCTTCCAGCTATAGGGTGACAACACTCTGTCCCTGTTCAGACACTTCTTGATATAGGGTGACAACACTCTGCCTATGACTCCCAATCGTCCTCCTGAGTTGTCACTCACTGATGGAGACTACAAGTGGCTGTTTCTACACACATTACCCAGATATGGTCCACCGTTGTCACCATCAGGAAACCCCCGCCCTGAGAAATGCCATGCAGCCATCGCTGAAGTGCATGTAGACAGGAAGTGACAGCAGTAGACAGGAAGGAGGCGGCAGGAGACAGGAAGGAGGCGGCAGGAGACAGGAAGGAGGCGGCACTCTGCCTATGACTCTCAATCGTCCTCCTGAGTTGTCACTCACTGATGGAAACTACAAGTGGCTGTTTCTACACACATTACCCAGATATGGTCCACCGTTGTCACCATCAGGAGACCCCCGCCCTGAGAAATGCCATGCTGAAGTGCATGTAGACAGGAAGTGACAGCAGTAGACAGGAAGGAGGAGACAGGAAGGAGGTGGCAGGAGACAGGAAGTGACTGCAGTAGACAGGAAGGAGGTGGCAGGAGACAGGAAGTGACTGCAGTAGACAGGAAGGAGGCGGCAGGAGACAGGAAGTGACTGCAGTAGACAGGAAGGAGGCGGCAGGAGACCGGAAGGAGGTGGCAGGAGACAGGAAGTGACTGCAGTAGACAGGAAGGAGGCGGCAGGAGACAGGAAGTGACTGCAGTAGACAGGAAGGAGGCGGCAGGATATCAGCAGCACTGAGAATAAAACATTGATTGACAAAAACGATATTATCTACAATAATTGCCATTGGTTGTGCTGCGCAGGGAACGTTGAATCCCACGAATGACATTTTGCTCTCTAGCTGGTCGGCATTTTGCAGCCGATGGTCCATCGCTTCCCCAATATAAGAATCAGAGGCGATTATAGATCTGAGATGTCGTGATGAGCGGAATGCGTTCACTCGGAAAGGGCGATCCCGCGGTCACATATCCTACAACGGAATGTCATCATTTCCTGTCCGGAATACTCTTTGTATCAGAGAATAGCTT